TCATCCAGACAGAAAATTAATAAGGAAACACAAGCTTTAAGTGACACAGTAGACCAGAGAGATTTAATTGATATTTATAGGACATTCCATCCCCAAACAGCAGATTACACTTTCTTCTCAAGTGCACATGGAACATTCTCCAGGATAGATCACATTTTGGGTCACAAATCAAGCCTCGGTAAATTTAAGAAAATTGAAATCATATCAAGCATCCTGTCTGACCACAATGCTATGAGATTAGATATCAATCACAGGGAAAAAATCGTAAGAAACACAAACACATGGAGGCTAAACAGTACGTTACTAAATAACCAAGAGATCACTGAAAAAATCAAAGAGGAAATAAAAAAATACCTAGAGATAAATTACAATGAAAACACGACGACCCAAAACCTGTGGGATGCAGCAAAAGCAGTTCTAAGAGGGAAGTTTATAGCAATACAATCCTACCTCAAGAAACAAGAAAAATCTCAAATAAACAATCTAACCTTACACCTAAAGGAAATAGAGAAAGAAAAACAAACTAAACCTAAAGTTAGTAGAAGAAAAGAAATCATACAGATCAGAGCAGAAATAAATGAAATAGAAACAAAGAAAACAATAGCAAAGATCAATAAAACTAAAAGCTGGTTCTTTGAGAAGATAAACAAAATTGATAAACCTTTAGCTAGACTCATCAAGAAAAAGAGGGAGAGGACTCAAATCAATAAAATTAGAAATGAAAAAGGAGACATTACAACGGACACCGCAGAAATACAAAGCATCCTAAGAGACTACTACAAACAACTCTATGCCAATAAAATGGAAAACCTGGAAGAAATGGACAAATGCCTAGAAAGGTATAACCTTCCAAGACTGAACCAGGAAGAAATAGAAAATATGAACAGACCGATCACAAGTAATGAAATTGAAACTATGATTAAAAATCTTCTAACAAACAAAAGTCCAGGACCAGATGGATTCACAGGTGAATTCTATCAAACATTTAGAGAAGAGCTAACACGCATCCTTCTCAAACTCTTCCAAAAAATTGCAGAGGAAGGAACACTCCCAAACTCATTCTATGAAGCCACCACCATCATCCTGATACCAAAACCAGACAAAGATACTACAAAAAAAAGAAAATTACAAATCACTGATGAATATAGATGCAAAAATCCAACAGCACATTAAAAGGATCATACACCAGGATCAAATGGGATTTATCCAAGGGATGCAAGGATTCTTCAATATACACAAACCAATCAATGTGATACACCATATTAACAAACTGAAGATAAAAAACCATATGATCATCTCAATAGATACAGAAAAAGCTTTTGACAAAATTCAACACCCATTTATGATAAAAACTCTCCAGAATGTGGGCATAGAGGGAACCTATCTCAACATAATAAAGGCCATATACGACAAACCCACAGCAAACATCATTCTCAGTGGTGAAAAACGGAAAGCATTTCCTCTAAGATCAGGAACAAGACAAGGATGTCCACTCTTGCCAGTATTATTCAAAAGAGTTTTGGAAGTCCTAGCCATGGCAATCAGAGAAGAAAAAGAAATAAAAGGAATGCAAATTGGAAAAGAAGCAGTAAAACTATCACTGTTTGCAGATGACATGATACTATACATAGAGAATCCTAAAGATGCCACCAGAAAACTACTAGAGCTAAACAATGAATTTGGTAAAGTTGCAGGATACAAAATTAATGCAGAGAAATCTCTTGCATTCTTATACACTAACAATGAAAAATCAGAAAGAGAAATTAAGAAAACAATCCCATTCACCACTGCAACAAAAAGAATAAAATACCTAGGAATAAGCCTACCTAAGGAGGTAAAAGACCTGTACTCAGAAAACTCTAAGACACTGATGAAAGAAATCAAAGATGACACAAACAGATGGAGAGATATACCATGTTCTTGGATTGGAAGAATCAATATTGTGAAAATGACTATACTACCCAAAGCAATCTACAGATTCAATGCAATCCCTATCAAATAACCAGTGGCATTTTTTACAGAACTAGAACCAAAAATCTTAAAATTTGTATGGAGACACAAAAGACTCCGAATAGACAAAGCAGTCTTGAGGGAAAAAAATGGAGCTGGAGGAATCAGACTCCCTGACTTCAGACTATACTACAAAGCTACAGTAATCAAGACAATATGGTACTGGCACAAAAACAGAAATATAGATCAATGGAACAGGATAGAAAGCCCAGAGATAAACCCCCACACCTATGGTCAACTAATCTATGACAAAGGAGGCAAGGATATACAATGGAGAAAAGATCTTCTCTTCAATAAGTGGTGCTGGGAAAACTGGACAGCTACATGTAAAAGAATGAAATTAGAACACTCCCTAACACCATACACAAAAATAAACTCAAAATCGATTCAAGACCTAAATGTAAGACCGGACACTATAAAACTCTTAGAGGAAAACATAAGAAGAGCACTCTTTGACATAAATCACAGCAAGATTTTTTCTGATCCACCTCCTAGAGTAAAGGAAATAAAAACAAAAATAAACAAATTGGACCTAATGAAACTTAAAAGCTTTTGCAAAGCAAAGGAAACTACAAACAAGAAGAAAAGACAACCCAACCCTCAGAATGGGAGAAAATATTTACAAATGAATCAACAGACAAAGGATTACTCTCCAAAATATATGAACAGCTCAAGCAGTTCAATATTAAAAAATTTGTTTAACAAACAACCCAATAAAAAATGGGCAGAAGACCTAAATAGACATCTCTCCAAAGGAGACATACAGATGGCCAAGAAGCACATGAAAAGCTGCTCAGCATCAGTAATTATTAGAGAAATGCAAATCAAAACTACAATGAGGTATCACCTCACACCAGTTAAAATGGGCATCATCAGAAAATCTACAAACAACAAATGCTGGAGAGGGTGTGGAGAAAAGGGAACCCTCTTGCACTGTTGGTGGGAATGTAAATAGATACAGCCACTATGGAGAACAGTATGGAGTTTCCTTTAAAAACTAAAAGTAGGGGCTTCCCTGGTGGCGCAGTGGTTGAGGGTCTGCCTGCTGGTGCAGGGGATACGGGTTCGTGCCCTGGTCCGGGAGGATCCCACATTCCGTGGAGCGGCTGGGCCTGTGAGCCATGGCCTCTGGGCCTGCGCGTCCGGAGCCTGTGCTCTGCGGCGGGGGAGGCCGCAACAGTGAGAGGCCCACGTACCACAAAATAAATAAATAAATATTTTAAAAAAACCTAAAAATAGTATTACCATATGACCCAGCAATCCCACTACTGGGCATATACCCAGAGAATACCATAATTCAAATTCAATGTTTATTGCAGCACTATTTACAATAGCCAGGTCATGGAAGCAACCTAAATGCCCATTGACACATGAACAGGTTAAGAAGATGTGGTACATATATACAATGGGATATTACTCAGCCAAAAAAAAAGAAACGAAATTGGGTCATTTGTAGAGATGTGGATGGATTTGGAGACTGTCATACAGAGTGAAGTAAGTCAGAAAGAGAAAAACAAATATCGTATATTAACGCATATATGTGGAACCTAGAAAAATGGTATAGATGAACCGGTTGGCAGGGCAGAAATAGAGAAACAGATGTAGAGAACAAATGTATGGACGCCAAGGGAGGAAAGCGGCGGGGGTGGTGGTGGTGGTGTGATGAATTGGGAGATTGGGATTGATATATATACACTAATATGTATAAAATAGATAACTAATAGGAACCTGCTGTATAAAAAATAAATAAAATAAAATTCAAAAAAAAACTTTATTGCTAAAAAATGCTATCATCTGAGCCTTCAGCAAGTTGTAGTAGTAACATCAAAGATCACTGATCACAGATCACTATAACAAATAAAATAATAATAGAAAAATATGAAATATTGTGAGAATTAGTAAAGTGTGACACAGAGACACAAAGTGAATAAATGCTGTTGGAAAAAATGGTGCTGGCAGACTTGCTTGACGTGGGGTTGCCACAAACTTTCAATTTGTAAAAAACTGCAATAAAGCAAAGCACAGTAAAACAAGGTATGCCTGTACTTCTAAAAGCGAGTCCCTCAAAATTTGCCATTGTATTAGGTGTAGGACAGAAAATGGTATAATATTGGGAATGAAATCATTAACATCTAAAATAAATTTTATAGTCATATTTCTTTTTAAGTCTTTTAAGCTTACACCATTTTGAAGAAATCATTAACTATGCATTGCTAGCATGGTTCATGCAAGAAAGTCATCTTGGAATCCAACCAGCAAATCCAGAGGCCTGGCCTTACATCAAAAGATTGACCTATACACATACTTCTAGCTATTTTAAGTTGAAATGTTTAAAGTAAATATGTACTGTTTTTAATGATTTCTTGCTTTAACTGAGTTTTTGAGATAACCTACTTTCCACTAGTCCCAATCAATCCCACTGAATGAGAGGGCTTCCAGTGTTCAACCATTTTTCAAATGAGAAAACTGAGGTTCAGGAGGTAAGGTGACTTCACAAATCTCCAAAGCAAGTGGCAGAGCTAGAATCCACCTCCAGACTCCCAAACTCTCCACTGTTACTCCATGTGGTGGCTCTCCTTCCTCTTGGGAGCTCTGACACTGCTGAGCCAGACACAGGCCACCATCTCGTATCTGATGGAGAAACCAGTGTGGCTTTCAGAGGCTTATTACAAACAAACAATGAGTTGCAAATGTTCCCATGGAAGTTGATCATTTGGCAAATGCTTTCGTTTACGGAGGTATTTAACTGCATGAAAGATGGAGCCAAGCCGCACAGCCCTTGCTGCATGTGAGTCCTGCCCAGAGCCCTTAGCAGAGACTCCCCCTCAGTGCAGCTGGTGTCCCGTGCCTGCAGGGCTGCGGCTGCCAGACCTTGGGAGATGCTCTTGAGTCTCCGGCTCCCTCTCACTGACACAGAGCTTTCTTTACAGTTTACAAACAGATTTCTGACATGTTACTTTTTTTTTTTTTGGTGCGGCTTGCAGGATATCAGTTCAGTTCCCGGACCAGGGATTGAACCCAGGGCCACAGCAGTGAAAGCCCAGAATCCTAACCACTAGGCCACCACGGAACTCTGCCTGACGTGTTATCTTGGTTGAGCCTCTCAACCATCTTTAAGGTCAGTGGGACAGGTTTTATCTCCTTTTACGGAAAATTGAGCTGAGAGAGGTTAAGTAATTTCCCTAAGTCCCATGGCTACTGTGTGTCAGGGATAGAGCTGAGATATAAACCCAGGTGTGTGCTTTCAGCTCCGTGTTCCTTCTGCCACACCACATGACCTTCTCCTGCTGCCCTGCCAAATCCCATCACCCCAAAGCCTGGCGCCTCTTTAGTGGAACAGCTCGGTGTCCCAGTGAGAGAACACCTTTGAAGGAGAGCAGCCTCAGTCTGAGTCAGGGCTCTGACTCTTATCAGCCTGAGCTGCAGTCTTCTCATCTTTTGCATGGGAAAGAATAATCATACCAACTCACACCGGAGTGGTGAGGATTGTGCGTGCATTTGGTGAAAGCCACGATCACAGTGTCTGGCTCACAGTAGGGCTTCAGTCCCCCCCCATTGTCTGTACCTGAGTGTTGATGTCTGTGCTCTGCACCGGTGCCTTTCATTCCACCCTCACAATGGGCTATGTGTAGGGCCTTCCAGCCTGGCTGGGAATTTCCCAAGAGCAGGGACCATGTCCCTTTTATGAAAAATACTTGGAAGTGGCTCCTGCCCTTGACCAGAAGACCTGAATTTTAGTCTTTTGTCACTTTCTTCCTCTGATCCTCAATTTTCCCATTTGTAAACTGAAGGGGTTTGACTAGATGATCTCTAAGGTCCTTCTGAATGATGATATTCTATGGTTTTCCTCACCCAGACTGGACTCTGAAGACAGAGGAACTGTGGCCACTTTTGCCCTGGATACTTCCTACTCCTAGCCCAGTGCCTGGGAGAAGGCTCTGCACATTCACAAATGTTTAGGTGCACAGCATTGTGTGCTGAGTATGATGCTACCGTCTCTGGGGAGACACAAGGAAGAGAAAGCAGTCCTATCCCCCAGGACTCCTACCCACCAAGAGTCCACCTCTGGTCTCATTGAGGAGACAGCAACAGCACACATGAAAACACCAAGGGTACTTAGTTCAGGCCCTGGGCATCTCTCCCTGGGAGGAATGCAAACAACCCCCTAACAGACTTCCTCACTTCTAGTATCTCCCCTTTGCTAATTCATCCCCATGCAGCTGCCAGATACACAAAGGCCAGCTCTGATCAGATCTCTTACTGGCTTTGAAGCCTTCAATGCTCCTTCTCTCTTTCTGGTGAAAATCTGAACTCATTAGCATGGCACCAAACCCTTTGCTGTCCAATCCCAGCCTGCCCCGAGGGCTCCAGTCATCATCACTGCTCATTGGCACCCAGACGCTGATCATTTGGAACTTCCTGCTCTCATTCCCATTCCAGCCCCAGTCTTCCAGCATGCTTGAAAGCCTCTGCAACCCCCATGATTTGCTTGACCTGTTTAGGTACAATCCCATCACATTTCATTGACTTATTTCATCTCAACATTTCAGCCTGAAGTGCCCTTATCACCAGGAATTCCAGAATCTTCCTTTCCCCTCTCATTCCCTGCTATTCCACTGTACACAATTGCCTAGCAACCTGGGCGCTACTCAGTCCAAAGAGATTAGAGTGTGAGAAAAGTCAATGTATGAGAAAGATCAGAGTCATGCAAGATAAACCAGGATGGGTTGCCTGCAAACAGAGAACTTTCATCAGGATTTAGAATGTACGAGAACTTCGGCAGGTAGATGTGTTGGCAATGGGGAAGGGAGGACCCCTGAAGTATGGGATCAGTAGCTAAGGGGTGGAAAAAGGCAGCGCCTCAGGCTCAGAATGCAATGACTTCACTTGATAAATTCCAGTCTGGTAAGGCTTTCAGAAACTGGGTGAGCTCATTCAATGCTGATATCGTTCCAAATTGGTATAGTCCTTGAGAGCCATAAAATATGTTCATGTCTTTGACAAGTAATCCTGCCCATGAAAATTTATGCTTTAAGGAAATAATTCACTGGAACACCAAATGCTCTTTGAACAATAGTGTTCATAGAGACATTCTATATAGTAGAGAACATGTGGAAGAAATCAACAGTTCAACAATAGGAGCTGGTTAAATAAAATAGGAAATGTCTAGATAATGAAGTGTTAGGAAGATATTAAAACTGATAATTAAAGTTTGTACTATTCAATTCTGAATTAACAAGTCAGCAAATATGGATGGAGGGTGCTGTATCAGTTTGTTAGGGCTGCTGTAACAAAGTACCACGGAGTGGGTTGCTTAAACACCAGAAATTTATTTTCCCACAGTTCTGGAGGCTGGAAGTCTGAGATCAAGGTGCAGCAGGTTGGTTTCTTCTGAGGCCTCTCTCCTTGGCTTGTAGATGTGTCTTCTCCCTTTGTCTGCGCAGGGTCTTCCCTCTGTGTGTGTCTGCGTCCTAATTTCCTCTTATAAGGACACCAGTCCTATTGGATTAGGCCCTCCCGCCGCGGAGCACAGGCTGTGGACGCGCAGGCCCAGCGGCCATGGCTCACGGGCCCAGCCGCTCCGCAGCACGCGGGATCCCCCCAGACCGGGGCATGAACCCGCGTCCCCTGCATCGGCAGGCGGACTCTCAACCACTGCGCCACCAGGGAAGCCCATGACTTCTTTTTAACTTAATTAATTATCTCTTTAAATATCCTATCTCCATATACAGTCACATTCTGAGGTATAGTGAATTAAGACTTCAACATATGAATACTGGGGGGACATGATGGCCTTTTCTGCATCTGAGACTGCACCGTGGGTTTGGGGGACTGATATGAAAAAGACACAGTCACTGGTTACCAAACATCTATAGACAAGAAAAAGTCTGGCTTTGATGGAAGGATAGAACTCTGACAAGGTAAGAGGGTGGGGTGGGCAGGGAACAATTAGGGCAAAGGCCGGGAAGCAGAGCACAGATCGCACTTGACCTCTGTGAAGTTATTCTTGGGTGTTGTACACACAGGACTCAAAGGCTATAAGCACAAAGTGATTTTATTTTGTCTCCTACTTCCCTTTAAAATTTATTCAGCTGGGAAATTTCCTCCTCTGCTCCTGCACAAAAACTTACACAGTCTTATGACTTTCTGGTCACTCTTAGGTAATAAGACTTTTGGGTCACGTTAAGTTGTTACACTCTGTCCCAGTTTAGAAATTAATAATTTAAATAATCAAATTGATTAAATCAAAGCTTCCAACTTAAGCTACAGCCCCTCGTCTGGCTGGGCCACTTGCTGCAGATGGGCTATCTGGGGCAGGGAGCTGGGTGATGTTAACCTTTTCCCCCTATTCATCCTCCTTCTCTCTGCCTCTGTTTCTGGCCCCTTCTGGATTGGGGTTGAGGGAGGGAGAAGAAGATAGACTATTCCTATACGCATATTATCTCCATGACTAGAACAGGATCCTCTTGGCTGGGGAGGATTTTTGCCAGGTGTGGACTGGTCAGCCAACAGCAGGGAGAATAGGACCCAAGACCTCTCGGCTGCCAAAGGGGTGATGCAGCCCAGTTTGTGGTTTCTCAAATCTTAACTTCAATCAACTCCGATCATTAATGATCTTATGACTGCAGCTGGCTCTTTTGAGAACGTCTCAGGCCAAGAAGCAAAGTCAACTCCAACGGAAACTCAATGCAAATTGAGCTTCTGGGACCATATTTAACTTTACATTCTCCATGGAAGTGGTAGGAGAGATCAGAGGCAGTGAACCTCACGGAAGAGAAGCAAGGTCAGAGCTTGTCTGGGGTCTCACAGTGGAGAGGCGCTGTGTCCTGGATCTGCAGACCTCTGGCCCTAGAGGTGTTGCATTACTTTCTTGAATGAGGCAGTGTGATGTTCAAAACATAGGCTTTGAGGCCACACAGCTGATTCTATCTCTATATTAATGAGCTCTGTGGCCTTGAATAAGTCACTTAGCTTCTCAGTTTTATCTAGTTTTCAGAGTTGTCATGAGGAGTACAACATATAAAATATACAAAAGCATCTACCCGGTACCTGATATATGAAAGGTCGTAAATTAATTTTATTTGTTTCCCCTCCCCTCATCAATGCTGAAATGCAGCATTTTCCTGAGTCAATGAAAGACTACAGTCATGAGATGTGGTTGGGCTGATTCCCCAGGATGTGGGACCTTGTTGAGAGCTTCCAGGACCCGAGGGTAACCCAGGGAACAACATGGGGAAGGATATAGTTAGTTAGAGCTGTCCAGGCAGCAAGGATACTGGGACAATCTGTTTCCCTTCCTGAATCTCGAGCTACTCCTAGTGCCCTGATCTCATCCAGCCCCAGGCCCAGAAGGCTCACTCTCTAGGCAAATGGATTCCTAATAGCCATTGGCCGAGGCCAGGGGTGTGGTCCTCATGGCCTCACTGGGAGAGGTCCACTTCCTGCCTTTCTTCATTGGCCAGCAGCCAAGTGGCCAGTTTCCCATCAGGCTGTGGCTGTTCCTCCTGTGGGCCCAGTTCAGTAGGGACACAGTCTCTACTCTTCCTGTGTCCATGAGCAAGGGCTTCTCTGGGGTATCACTCCTGGTTTCTCTCATTCCACCCGAGGAACAAGGGATCAACTTACTCGATTAATGATTTTGAGGAAGGAATTGAATATAAGTAGGGAGTCCTCCTGGATTCTGTCCTGAGATCTGCACTCTGAACTGTTCTGTCTACTCTGTGTGAGCTTAGAGAGCATGATCTGGATCTTCAGAACAGGCTTATTGCTGGGTGGGGAGTGGGGTGTGGTGGGGGGATGGAGAGTGGGTCAAAGTATAATTTTCAAAAACGTCAAAAAACATTACTTCTATACAGATATGGAAGAATATATGCCAAAGCTCTGTTTAACTCATTAATAAGAAAATGTTAAAGCTGGGTCTTAAAAGCATTTGATGAAGAAATTTATATAGTTAGAAAAGGAATGCTGAAATAAGTTTATTAAATTAGATGCAAAATATCCTCCCATGCAATAAAATGATAGCCTTTGCAGTCATCTTCTCTATCAAAGAGATATCGCTTGGGTCTCTGTCAGACAAAAATCTACATATTAACATGTAATATTAATGAATGTTAACAAATCTGGGCCCTAATACATAGTCAATAAAAGTCAAGCAAAGACTAATTGCTCCTGGAGAATTAAATAAATCTTGGTGGGGCTATTAGACAGTGATCCAGTATAATATTGAGACAACAAGTAGTCATGTTTTTTCATTATTTCCAAGATTTTGATAATTCTGGGTAATTCTTTTTTTGTTTGTTTTGTTTATTTGTTTATTTTTGGCTGTGTTGGGTCTTCGTTGCTGCGCACGGGCTTTCTCTAGCTGCAGCCAGCCGGGGCTACTCTTCATTACGGTGCATGGGCTTCTCATTGCAGTGGTTTCTCTTGTTGCAGAGCACGGGCTCTAGGTGCGTGGACTTCAGTAGTTGGGACTCGTGGGCTCTAGAGCTCAAGCTCAGTAGTTGTGGCACATGGGCTTAGTTGCTCCGGGGCATGTGGGATCTTCCCAGACCAGGGCTTGAACCCGTGTCCCCTGCATTGGCAGGTGGATTCTTAACCACTGCACCACCAAGGAAGTCCTGGGTAATTCTTAATAAGGGATAAATTCAGTACTGGAGAGGGGATATTAGCAAGCACAGCACATCTGAATATTTTGTTAAAATATTTTTTTTTTACTATCTCCATCTTTGTGATTACTGGGTCTATCTCTCCTTTGCTTTTTTTGTTTTTGTTTTTGAATATTTATTTATTTAGTCTGTGCCAGGTCTTAGTTGCGGCACTTGGGATATTTGTTGTGGCGTGCAGGATCTTTACTTGTGGCATGTGGGATCTAGTTCCCTGACCAGGGATCGAGCCACCAGGGAAGTCCCCTCTCCTTTGGTTTTGTTTTTGTTTTGTTTTTCCACTTGGGTAGAGAAAAGAGGGGTGTTATTTATTGAGCCTCCCAAACTCCAGTGGGCATCCTCTCCCTTTGGTGAATCCCATCTCTGCCGTAGGAGCTGCTCCAGGCTAACTCTGGTTGGATGATGGCCCAGCTCTCTTTGTTCCTTCCAACTGTCAGGCTAGGAGGCACCATCAATTCAACTCTCATACTGTGAAAGTACAGGAGGAAACAGACTTATTCATTTTTCTGCTATAATTTGCCAAGATGTCAGTTTAATAAACAAAATAAATATCTCTTGTCAGTGTTTTCTCCCATTATGAATATGTATGAGCTCTTAGAACTTTGGGAAGAGGCAGGCTTCTGAGGATAACTCCTGGATTTACAGCCCCCTAGACGAGAATTGCAGAGGGCCTGTGTGCCCTATTCTTTAACACCCCCACCCTTCCACCCTTATACTAGGCCTCTGAATATGTTTAGGAGGAAATGAGATTCGGTGAATAGCCATATCAATAAATACTCAGTGAATGCCTATTATCTGACAATCACAAAGATAGGACCAAGATGTATAGACTAAAATGACCAAAATGTATAGTCTCAGTCCTTCACAAGTCCATGGTCTTCTAGGAGAAAAATGTATAGACAAACAAATTACAAATGCAATGTGGTAAACATGGCAATGGAAGTGTGTGTGTGGTGTAGGCTTTTGCTAGGGTAGAGAAAAAATATAGAATGTGCAAGAAGACACACCTAGGTTCCAATTTCCGCTCCACCATTTAGTTGAATGTCTTGGACAACTTATTTATAAAATGAGGTCAGTGCCCTCCTTACTGGTTGTGTGAGTTTTGGAAATAATAGATTTAAATCGCTAAATGTAGTAAGTAGCACCTAGTTGGCACTCAATAAATTATAACTATTAATAAGGGGCATTTTAAAAATTCTTTCTTTCTGTCTTTCTTTCTTTCCTTCTTTCTTTTTTCCTTCCTACCTTCCCTCCTTGCTTTTTCTTTCTTCCTTTCTTCCTTCCTTCCTTTCTTTCTTTCTTTGTTTCTTTCTTTCTTTCTTCTTAGCTACAAAAAATAACTCATGATAGAATTGCCCTTTGTAATGTATAAGGCACTTTCATTTTTTTTAAAAAGATCAATCTCAATTACTCTTTTAAAAGATTTTTCTTAATTTAATTTTTTAAGTTTTATTTTTACTTTAGGCTGTGTTCAGTCTTCATTGCTGCGCATGGGCTTTCTCTAGTTGTGGCAAGCGGGGGCTACCCTTCGTTGAAGTACACTAGCTTCTCTCATTCAGTGGCTTCTCTTGTTCCATATGTGATGGAGG